CTCTCTCTGCACTTATGTATTACAGATACTATACTAGCGGTTTAGAGTATTTCCTAGATCAGTATTAATAAAATAGATTTAAACAGCACAGTTAACAAGCTTGATTGTATGACCATATACACAACATTGTACTAACGATGGAGAGTACTTTTCTTTCCTAAGTACTCGTGAGAATACTACACACACACACACACACACACACACACACACACACACACACACTCTTCGGAATATAGATAGATGATAGATAGATAGATAGATAGATAGATAGATAGATAGATAGATAGATAGATAGATAGATGGATGGATGAAATATAAAATAGATATATAGATATATGAAAATGTCTCCATGAGTTAGTTTTCCAAATAATAGATATGTTATGGGAATCTACTCTAGAGTTGTCATCCAGATTGTCTGATTGTATTCTAGGCTTTAAGATTCTACACACTAAATTGAAAACTTTTCTCTACTTCCTTATTTTGCTTTCTTTTGCCACCCATTTTTATTTTTATTCCCATTTTAGCTCTACTTTATCTCGGGCCATTTTAATTGTATGAAATGGCAAAAAGATGCTTTGCTAACTCCGTTCAAAAGTCTAAAGTAGGGCCAGCTGAGTGGCTCAGTTGGTTAAAACTCACCCAAGAGTGTGAGCTCTGAGCAACAGGGTCACTGGTTCAATTCATGGCCCAAGCTGAGCAGGCACTGAGCTGCCAACAGGTGGCAGGATGGCTCAGCTAAAAAAAAAAAAAAATTATTAAAAAAAAAAGTCTAAGGTAGAAACTACACCGCTTTTCCATTCTAATTGAATGTCTGTCTTCCCTCTGGCATATGACTTTAATTTCAGACGAGATTGGGTGCATTCAGGATGGTATGGCCGTAGACCTACTTTAATTTCAAAAGATCAAACAGTATCTGGATGCTAGTTTCTTTAGTCATTGAAATGGCCTCTGCTTTACACATATTATGATATAACTGCTGTGATAGGAGAGGGGGACATCAAATTATTTGTTCATTTTTTGCTACACTTGCTTTTCCTCAGTTCTCTTTATTTCCCAAGCTTTCTGAATAAGGTTTAGAAAATAAAGTGTAGATAGTGCCATAAAAATGGTAAATTATTTTTTTAAAGACAGTGTAAGAAATTGGTGTTTGTATTTGGTGACTTATTTTAACAGAAATCTTTACTTGGTTCAACCTCACTTTTTCTTATGCACGTTTTTCTCAGTGGCACTTTCTTCATGCTGTACTGAATCTCATGCTTATGATCTCTCAGAGTTAGGAGAAATATTGATAAGATTTTTTAATATCAGGTGTGTGCCAGTTAAGTTTGTAAATATACTAGAAGGAATTGTTGTGTGGTAAAGTGAGATGCTGTTAATTAAAAGATAAGCCAAAAAAAATGTGATTTTGTGATGATGATTTGAAAAGCCAGATGTCGGCAGACGTATCCCGTTCCTAAGAGAGTGCACTGGGAAACAATCGGAAAAACACTGAATTTTATGAAGCTTACTTCGTTCCCTTTGACTGCAGCTTTAAAAAGTCATGCAACGTAATAGGCTGGAGATAATTAACTTCACTTTTTAAAATGTAAATAAAATATCTTGTAAAGGCTTTTCAAGAGGAGGTTAGGTAAAATCCTCAGCATGCAAAAATAATTTTCTGAGGAGCTATTTCTTACATAAACAAACCCTTAGCAGTTTCCCCCAGCCATCCATAAAAATGATGTTGTAATTTGTATTTCAGTTAATAAACTAATAGATTTTAATAGCTGCATCTGTAATGCTTTACCTTAACCTAAATTCTAATTGCATACTAGCTTTGTACTAGACCCTGCTAATTTTTGGAACAGCTGAATAATTATTATAAACTCTAAAGCTTATTGTTCTTTTCCTTCCTGACTGAGCCATCTGTCAGAAACAAAGCAAAGCGAAAAATCGCATTGAGCCACCAAAGATTCTGTACTTCTTAATGTCACTTCTAAGGAGACACATTGATCTGGAAAAAAAAAATCAATGCTGCTTTTCAAAGAAAATTTTTGTTACTTCATTGCAGATGGGGAACTCAAGGAGATTTCACCACTACACACCCTCGGCCTGTGGTTAAAGTAAAACTCTTCACAGAAAGTACCGGCGTCCTGGCCCTCGAGGACAAGGAACTGGGAAGGGTGAGTCCTGGTCAGCTGTGTGTGTCCAAAGCTGCACAACTTGAACTTCTTTTTTTTTTTCTTTCTTTTTAAATTTTATTGGGGAACAGCCATGGTCATTGGATACACATTGCTTTCATGCTACAATGGCATAGTTGTCTCTTTAGGGAGGACGCAGCTCACAGTGGCCCATGTGGGAATTGAACCGAAAACCTTGGTGTTATCAGCACCGCACTCTAGCCAACTGAGCTAACTGGTCACCCCTTAACTTCTTTTGATTCGAGTTAAACTGGGCCAGTGTACACTGTGTGAACTTTCTGTTCACAAATTACACAAAAGAATTTATTTGTGATTTCCCATGAACCCAGCATACAGCTCTAATTTATTAAACATAATATTCAGTAACAAAGGAAGTATCGTGACAGGCCTCGGGTGTGTAAGGGACACGTACAGGATCATAGCCAGTGACTCAGTCATTCTCACGTGTGTACTCCACTGGCCACTGAGTGTGAATGGTGCAGGCCAACTTGCCCTTCTTGGTGAAGGGTAATTCTTATGAAAGCATCTCTGTCCACAGGTTAAAAGCATCATTGTTATATTTGAAACCATCTGCTCAACATGTTTATTATAATTTAACTAATTACAGGTATTTCTTAAGTGTATTTATCTCTCTCACATCTCCCATTTTCCTTGTAAGAAGGTCTTCCTCACCCATCTTTTAATATTGAATTATTTTTCTGTAGTCATTTCCTCATGCCTAGAATATACCTATTTATCCTCTGATTCCGGTATGTCTTCACTATACTCAGCTTTTTCTAGCAGTAATAGCATTAAAATTAGGGTAGATTTGTGATCATAACACCTCTCTGTATAAAAAAATGTATCCTGTCTATGAAGTAAATGTGTTCCAGTGAGTAGGGTATAAATCGTCTGCAGCGTGGCTCTGTCTTACCCAGTCCTGAACACTGCACTCAGGTATTGTCCACGGAATGCAGCCTTCGGAATTCTGTCTTGACAGTTTCAGGTGATGATCGGCAGCTTGTGTGATACTAGATGTTGAAGGATACTGGGCTCATTCTGTATACTGGAATGTTTTTTCTCCAAAGTTGGGATTTCTATTCATTTCAAGTCCTCTTCCTCTTCTATTGGGTTGTTGGAAAAGTCATGACACATTTTTGCAATGAAACACAGAAAAAATATGTCATGACTTTTCTGACAACCCAATATATCCTTTAGACAGTTGGGGTTTTTCCTTTGCTATAGATTTTAGGAATCAGTGCTCACACTCCAGAGATGGTGGGTCTGCACTCACATCCCAGACTTCTCTTCTGTTTCCTTGTTGCATGTACTTGTTCATGCCTGAGAGAGCTGCACCACACCATTCGTTCACTCATGTGCTTCTGTATTTGTGCATTTATTCATTCAACAAAGGTGTACGGGGAGCATAACCCAACAGAAGAGTCCTGGAAATTATACACAGGCGAATGGATTTATAAATTATTATTACATTGTTTTTCCTTATTCCCTTCTGTAGCTATTCTTCAGTAATAGCAGCCAGGTTAAGCCTAATGCTATGATGTAATTCTTAAGATACTTTTAATTTATTTCTCAGCTGGTCAAATATGTATGTAAGCAATTTTAAATTGGGTACGTAAGTGGCGTCTTTTCCAATCAGACATGTTTCTGAGAAAGGTCTTACGCTCCCTTTACACAAGAAAGACAACTTGTCTATCTCTACAAGAGTTTCTCAAGCTCAGCACTACTGATATTTTGAGCAGGACAATTCTTCGTTGTTGGGTGCTCTCCTTTGCATTTTATGGTCTTTAGCGGCATCCCTGACCTCCAGTCAATAACGCCAGTTGTTCCCCTCCACCCTTAAGTCAAGACCATCAAAAATGTCTCCAGTGTCTCCAAAAATGTTGCCAAATGTACCCTGAAAGGTGTGCAAAACCATCCCTGCTTGAGAACCATTGATCTTATAGGTCCCATGACTAAGGATCATTTGCACAGGCATATGAATGACTTCCAGTTCTTTTATTTCTCTTCCTTGGAGCTTCGGATTTGTATATCCAACCTGCATACTTGTTACCTCTCATTGTATACTAACAGATATTGCAAACTAAATATTTTTGAGGAGAACTAATGATTAGCACCCCCATAAAGCCTTCCAGAGTTGTCAAGCCAATGATCACACCATTCCTTTAATTCTCCTTCCTTCACTCTAATTCCCAATTTTTTGAAAATTCTGTCAGCTTTTCTCTAAATTTATCCTGAATCCATCCACATCTTAACACCTCCTCAACCCTAATTCAGGATACCATGATTTCTCACACATCCTTCTATAATAGGCTGCTTACTACTTTCCCGTTTATCATCTCTTCCCCTCTGATCCAGCTTTCACTCACACCTCAGCCACTATGATCTATTTAAAATTCAAATCAAATCACATTATTCTGTCCTTAAAATCATTCAATGTTTTCTCATTTATTAGAAATAAAAATCAGGCTCCTTGTCAGAGTGTAGCATGCCTAAGGAGGGTTCTCAAGGTGAGACCCTGACCGGTAGCTTCAGCAGCATTTGGAGACCCTCAGGCCCCACTGCAGAGCTGGTGGGTCAGCAACTCTTGAGGCGAGGGGTCTGCAGTCTGTTTTAATAAGGCCTCTTGATAACTTAGCCACAAACAACGATGAGGAACCCTGCTGTGCATGAACAGATCCCTCTTTCCGAATTTATCTCCTGTTGCCTATTGTAACCACCTCGCTTACTATCATTCTTCTCTCACACTTGGTTTTCTTTCTGTTCCTCAAACATAACAGACTCATTCTGCTTTAAATGTTAGGTCTTCAGATATGTTATTGCCTGAACACATGTGTGCACATGCACAATTAGAAGAAATTGGTGATTATCTCTGGGTGGTAATGTCTCTTGTATGTTTCTTCACGTTTATACTTAGAAACAGTAACAACTTTTTTTTTGTTTTTCTAATTTGAAGGAAAAGCCCTTACGTGATCTGAAATTCACAGTCTATAAAGTTTTTAAAGTGAACTTTTAAAATGAAAATTTTGGGTACCTTATATACTTGAAAGCTGAGTAACAGGGCCTTTCAAATTGCTGTATACCTACTAAAGTTTCTAAAATACAAGAAAACTAATAATAACAAATGCTGACAGGGATGCAAAGCAACTGAAACTTATTATTTCCCAGTGGAAATGCAAAATAATACAACCATTTGGAATATAACTTGCAATTTTCTTATATAAAGTTAAATGTACACTTACTGTATGACTCAGCAATTGCCCTCCTAGCTATGTACTCAACAGTTTATAATATTTATGCCCTGCACGTGAGTATTTATAACAACTTTAGTTATAATTTCTAAAAGCTGGAAGCAATAAGATGCCCTTCAACAGAGGGATTGATAAACCAACTGTGGAATACGTGCAATGGAATTCTATTCAGCAGTAAGAAGATACAAGCTATTTATTCACACAGCAACAGAGATGAGACAAATGCAAGCAAAGGAAGTCAAACCCCAAAAGATAGGTTGTAGAAAGGGCAAAACTATAGGGACAGGATACTGATGGGCGTTTGCCAAGCATGGACCAAGGGGGAAGTGGTTGTCTACAGAAGGGCGCGCTGGGAACGTGAAGGGTGAAGGAGTGTTGTTTCTGGTACTGGGTGTTGGATGCGTGAATGTGTATATTTGCTGACACCCATCACAAGGAATGTGCTTTAATGTATGCACACTCACACACACACACACACACACCCACACACCTCAACACATACACCAACCAACCAGGGGTGTCAAGGGCACCCCAGCAGGGAATGCAGACTGTGACTAAGGAACTTAATTTTATTACAAAGGCATGACACACCTGCACTGAAAGGGGTGATGGGAAAAGAAACACGCCTAAGCAAGCAAAGAGGAAAAAATAACTTGCAAACCCTGCCTCCACCAAGTGATGAAGGTGAACCCTACCAGTGATGCCACGTAGCTGTCTTGTTGGGGAATATGATGCTGTGAGAAGGGCATGCTTCACCTCTGGTATTCTTTCCAAAACCCCAACATAAACTCAGTCTACTTATGAGAAAAACATCAGCAAAACCACACTGGGGGACATTGTACAGAATAGCTGGCCAGTGTTTTTCAAGACTGTCAAGGTGTTGAAAAACAAGACTGAGAAACTGTCATGGATCAATGGAGACTAAGGAGACATGACAAGTAAATGCAGTGTCCTGGATTTCATCTTGAACTAGAAAGAGGATGTTAATGGAAAAACAGGCGGAATCCAAACAGAGCCTGGGGTTTAGTTAACAGTAAGGTCCCAATGTCAGTTTCATGGTTTTAACAAATGTCATGTATGCTATTAATTACAGGGAAACGGTCAGAGGCATACAGGAACTTTCAATAATATTTTTGCAACTTTTCTGTGAAACTTAAATTATTCCAGAATGCAAAGCTTGGTTTTAAAAAGATTTATAATGAAGAAGTCTTTTAAATATTGTTGCAAAATGCTTCAACATATATTTTCTAAGAAACGTTTTTTAATGCTTATTTTAAATTAAAGTTTATTGGGGTGACAATGATTAGTAAAGTCACATAGGTTTCGAGTGTACAATTCTGTAATACATCATCTATATATCACACTGTGTGTTCACCACCCCGAGTCAGTTCTCCTTCCATCACCATATATTTGATCCCTGTTACCTTTTTCTACCACCACCACCCATACCCTCTGGTAACCACTAAACTATTGTTCGTGACTATGAGTTTTGTTTCTTCATTTGTTTTTTCTTGTTCTTTTGGGTTTTTTTGCAGTTTTATATTACCACATATCAATGAGATCATATGGTTCTCAACTTTTTCTGTCTGACTTATTTCACTTAGCCTAATAATCTCAAGTTCCATCCATGTTGTTGCAAATGACACTATTTCATCTTTTCTTATGGCAGAATAGTATTCCACTGTGTATATATACAACTTCTTTATCCAGTCATCTATGGAAGGACACTTTGGT